CTCATCCTAGACTTATGCTTCTCTCCTTATCATTTCCTACTCGAATTCATTTTCCTTTCTTTACAAAAAAATATTAATTAAATACTAACATAATTACTACTAATCTTATTCCAACTAGAACAAATATAATAATTAATATTGGCTGCAAAAATGAAAATTGGCTGCAAAAAAAATATTTCTTATTTTCAGCAATAATTAATATGGACTGCAATAATGGAAACGCAGATATCATGCGATCAATATTCAAAACTCGATTGATTGGACAATGGACACTATATCAAACCGCAAGTATACATGGACTACTGTATCATCAAGTCGTGGACTTCTTTCGGCAATTCGGTCGTATGTATAAAATACACTAGAAAATTAGCCCGTGCTACGCGGCGGGTTTGAATTGATAATATGTGAATTTATGATGCAACATTAACGAAGGATAAAAATAGTCAAAAAAATCTTATTTTGTTAAGGAAAAAAATCCATGGCATGATAGTTTTTACCATGTTGAATATATAAAATAATTTAATTTGACCATATTGAATTAAGAAAATAAAATAAAAAACAAAGTGATTTTTAACAGAATAATTTGACCATATGGATGTTAGGAAAACCCATCGATCAAATGTAAAAGGATTTTTGACAGAATAACATATAAGGGAGGACGATAGATATACTAATCTTCAATAGATAATGCTAATTCTGAAATAGTACTGCACTACTTAAAAAATAGTGAAACGGCTAAGGGTAAACGTCTAATGTGGGCTTCATGTAACCTTAACCCCACATGAAAGGTTCTAACTTGGGATGGATAAGTAGTAATAATATGGCTGGGCTCAGCTATCCGTTACTATATAAAGAATAAATTCACGTATCAGTCTTCATTGACAAACAATTATCATGAACTCATTATATCAAATGCAACATATATAGAAGAGGGAAAATTTTAGGGGTCGTTTGGAGGTTGAGATTTGAAGTGAGGTATTTAGCAAATACATGTAATGATAAGATTAAGTCGTTTTTTTGGTTCACTTTGAGTTAGAATGCATGCATTACCTTTTTGTTGGGCCCACCTACAATCACTCAAAATGAATGATTATAAATCTCCACTAAAAGGTGAGATTGTTAATGAGGGATTGTCTACCCTACTTTTTGTTTCATCATTGCTCTTCCAAACAAAGTATTTTCCTAATACATGCATTGAATCAATACATCAAATGATAATACACTAATTGACCTAATACATCAATTTGAAGAATCACAATTTCCAAACGACCCCTTAGAAGTATAACAAAATATAAGAGGTCGGTTATATGTTCATAAAATGGTCAACATAGTACATGGAGATCAACTATTGCAGCACGCCTAAAAGGGAATCTTTGAAATTTGAATCATCATCTTTGCGTCTCTCTGTTTTCCCCTTATCCATGGGAAAGTGATATATAAATTGGGGGAAAACAACGCAGAATGAATGTACTTAATTAACAAATAAGTCTACATAGCATGAAAGAGAACAGAGCTATCTAATGGTCTTGCGAAAGTCTGCAATAAGTTCTACAATTTATCAATTTCACAATTAACTTTGAACATATCATTCAAAATGCCATTTATTAAACCATTGAATCATAGCACTAATTTGACACTGTGAGCAAGAAGAGTGTTTACCTCTTTGATGAAAAAGAGATGTGAACAGAAATGTTTTCTTTAACTGAAGAATGGAAAAGCATACCATAAACTTGCATAAAAATTTACAGATTGTGAAGATTGAGGCATGCTATCTCAACAATTACTTGTAATTAAGTACTTCAAGCCCTCTTTCTTTTCAACGTTCAAACATAGTTGAAATTGAATGCAGCTTTAATGAAAACAAATTTCTAGTATGAATTCATTGGAGAGCTTTCAATCAAAACAATCAATAAGAGATTCATGGTAAAGCTGCTAGAATGACCTAAGCAAATCATCAACCGATATGTAAGTTCTTGCTCAATCCTTTTAACGTAGTATATCTCAAAAACTGAAAGGGAAATGGAAGTGAATGCTTCTAACTTTTCACTCTTCAGATGTTTGTAATGTCCTTCGTTGTCTTGCTGAGATAGCACATCCACTGTAAACATAAGTATTAAGGGTATAGTAACATTGATAAACTTTGTACTCAAAGAACATGTGATCAAAAGAGAGCAAAAGCAATCAATCCAATACCTAAAATCTAGAAACTGTTCTAATATTGTTGCAGAGTCTTCACTTGTAGTAAATCAGACAATGTAACTGCTTAGAAACGGATCCAGTATACTAACTTCATTAGAAGCAGATGCATAGAGTAGATAAGTAACGATTGCGATGAACTCTCAGAGAGTTGTGCCCAAATGTACAACTGGTGGGAAAACAGATATGATATACTAACTTCATTATAAGCATACGCACTACATCATAAACAAAACAATCATGACATATAAAAATCGCAAACTGAACTCCTGCAATCAACAATGATCTATGCAAAAGACAACACAGAGTTTAAACTTTTACATGGATTTGGCTCTTGCTAAGTAATCATACAAAGCAACAACACATATAGAGTTTAAACTGGAGGAATTATGCAGTGAGCTAGAAGGCAATTCCCAACGGCCCAAGTTCCGCATGAATTTAATCAATTAATACTTACAATCACATAATAAAATTTCTTTGGTAAAGGACTTTGAACTTTTATGAAAACGTGACTCAAAAGACGCTAAGACTATAGTCTTTCCAAAGTGACAATCAAATTGGAAAAATCCAAATATCATCTTCTTGCTGTAGATAATCAAACTGGCAATCAAATTATACTATCCCCATTCTTCCCAATGAATCTCAATTTTGGGCATACTATTCTAGTTGGTTCAAATCATCAAAAACAGTCACACCATTCCAATTGGTACAAAAACAGCAATGAACTAATATAATGTCCATCAAATCCAGCAACGAAGCAAATCCCCGGCAGACTCCAATCATCATCGGCTTCGAAGCCCATTCCAATCTCGATCCACACATAGATTTGGGCTCTCACACTGAAATTGAAAAGGGGAAAACAAAGAGAGAGAATGACATAACAGAGGAATGAAGTAATCTCCATCAAATCCAGCAACGAAGCAATCTCCTACAAAGCTTTCCCCAGTAGAGAATTCAACCACCGCCTGGTTCGAAGCCCCCATTCCCAATCTCACTCGATTCATCAGATAGCTCCGTCAATGAGAGTTTCTAATAGGGGAAAAGGAGAACCCAGTGCTGATTGAGTGGTGAGCAACAAATAAGCTTTCTCTAGGGCTTCGGTTTTGAAGAGAAGATCCGAATCTCGCGATTTCGATTTTTGCGGAGGTGAGGAAGATAGATCGGCTAGAGCAGGCTCCTCTCCTTACATCCATCTTGCCCTTTTCTTTCCTTTACTTCGATCCCGTGTAGGAGAAGAAGAAGAAGAAGAAAATGGATGGTCACGGAGAAGAATGGGAAGAGAGAGAAGAAAAAGTTGAACGGAAGAGAGGAATGAATTGTCGCAAAACAAAAAACAGTGTTCACAGGAGAGAGAAGCAGAAACACTCGTTTTTACTTTTAGGGATCAGAATCCAATGGTTGTGATTAGCTTGCCAACAGACTGGTAATCGGTTAAACATAGTCAGCCCAAGGTAGTGAACTTGGGCTCAACGAAACCTCTGACCGCAGGAAACCAATAACTCTCATAGTGAATAGTAACCTCCGATTTTTTCTTAATGAACAGTACCCGATTTTGTAGTTACTTGCGGGTTAATAATTTTAATTTCCTGGTACCTTAAGGAATCGGTTCCAACCACTCACACAGGACACAGCTGGTCTATGAGTGATTGGGGGAGGATCTAGGACCAAGAACCTTAGATGTGGGCACACCAATCTCACTGTTAAAAAGTGGGAATAGCTTTTTAATTAAGTTTCGGGGTAGTTTGGGTATTATGAAAAATTACGAAGTATACAAACCGGAGTTACAAACAATACAAACTATAACGACAAACAATACAAACATACAAACTGTACAAACAATACAGACAATACAAATTAGACCGACACAATACAAACTATACAAAATGAAAAAAACAACCGAGTTGACTTTGGAGGCTTCATCCCTATATAGAGGGACTCGTACCAACGCCAACCCGGTTGTTTTTAGACATACAAACATTACAAACATGGTGGACAAAAATTACAAACTAGACCAACAAACCATACAAAATGGAAAAACATCCGGGTTGACTTTGAAGGCTCTGTCTCTATATAGAGGAGTTTCATCCAAAAGTTAACCAGGTTGTTTTTTAGACATAAAAAATATTACAAACATGGTTGACAAAATTGACAAACATGGTGCACAAAAATAACAAAGCTTACAAACATTACAGAATAAACCGACAAACATTACAAAGCATACTAACATTACAGAATAAACCGACAAACATTACAAAGCATACTAACATTACAAAATAACACTACTTACAATACAAATCGATAAAATTGTATAGCAAATCAATGAATACAAAGTATACAAATCATAACATAAAGTATACAAACTACACAAACAAATATTATAATTCAAATTATATACAATTTAGTCATATAAACATTACAAACACAATAGACAAAAATAATAAACTAGAATGATAAACGATACAAACCTAATAAATATAAACATTACGAACCATACTTATAAACATTATAAAATAGGTCCACAAACATTACAAAATGCAGGCCCGCCAGAAAATTCACTCCGTTGTCAGAAAATCTCATTCTCTCTCCTGTTGGGGAGGGGGAAATCCCCAGAAAAGGAACGACGGCAGGAGGGCGGGGGACGGTATGATTTTTTTATTTTACTTTAATTATTAAATAAATATATATATATATAATTATCATCTTACCCTTCATTAAACTAGATAAATCTGAACCATTAAATTGTAATTAATGAGGTTCAACGACTGAAATTGACTTAGTCATGTAACTAAGGAACCCCTTAGTCGCCTAATCTTAGCACGATTGGTGGGGCAACATTATCAAAAGTCAAAAGTGATCCTACAAGTGCTTCATAAACCAAGCCAATTTCCGAATTTCGCCAAGGATGCTTACAAGAGTTTTTGCAAGTCATTTCTCATCTAATTCTCGGAGATTTGATCAAAGTTGAAGAAGAACTATCGTTAGGATCCTGTGAAGTGAAAGCTGCCTCAGTTGGGATGGAATGAGTTGAAAGTGAAAAACGACCTCAAACTGCTGCTACTCTCTACTCCTCAAAACCAAAGACAAAGTAATTTGTAAAACAACGATGATTTCCAGAGGCACAATGAAGGCTTCTTAGAACCACAAACAAAGAAACAGTAAAGAAGAGCTGGGGGATTGGTGGCACGGTTACAGCCATATTCTTGTATAGAACTTCTAGTGTTGCTGTTGCAGCAAAAGCTTGCCTACGACGAATCCACTTTCAGTACTATCTTCATGAATTCGTACACAAAATAACTTATTGCAGCAGAAGGTAAAACCTGCAAAACACAGAACGGTACTATGTTCAGACTGGAACGGGACCCGAAAGATACCAGTATTCACAAATCTCAGTGGAAGCAAATGCGTGCAGACAGTAAGCAAGACCTAAAAGGATCGGAAAACCAAAAGATTGCCTAATACGGTATATGATGTCACTGATAGGAGAATCAGCTGCGTATTATCACTCAATCATATTAGAAAGAAGTTGCAAGAAAAGGGTTTGAAAGTTGGTACTAACTAAACACATGGTTTTGTATACCTGTAACAAGCTTGGTATTAATCCAGCATATAGAGCAGGAATGCCTCCATGTTCAACTATCTTCAAACAAGTTGCCACTGCATTCATCTTTGTGGCACGGACTTGCATTTGAAGCTGTCTCCTCACAACTTCAAATGGGTAAGTAGCAGCCTCGGAGCAACACCCTGCAATCGCACCATAGAGCAGTGTCCTGTAGGGACCCAACTCCAGCTGGTCAAAGGCATTCAGCTCCTGCCCTTCTTGGTTCATGTGTTGAATTCTCGCCTTCCCCTCGGGCGAATGAAGATATCCTGTCTTCAGTATATCGTAGACACCATAAAATACTGCACCCGCAGGAGCCATGCTTGCTAATGAGGGTACTAAACCCTTGTAAAGTGAGAAGAAGCCTTCAGTCTGGATCATGTAACGAAATGTCCCAATTACACCACCCAATGCTTCACCACCAGGTGCTACCATCTTGGTCCTTATCTGCAGTGCGTGTATGGGATTCAAGAATGTTAAGTAATATTCTCGCTGAAGGTGCTTGAGTAATGCAGTGTGTAATGAAACTGAAACCACAAATTCAGTTCAAGTGCCAATTTCATGTGACAGTTTGATACTCCATCATCCTTGTACATGAGCAGGAAATGTTAGTCGTAAAATTGCCCACAAGTGGACTTTGCCTAAAACAAACCAGGAAACGTATTCCTTAAACTGGTTTTGTTGCACTAGACCAAAACCAGTTATAAAATCCATTGAAGTTATACAATCAACATCTCGAAGTAGCATGAATGAAGAAGACGGCAATTAGGCCGCAAGCAACAGTCAAGCAGAAAACACAACTATTCTAGGTCACCTGTGCTTCCAAGCAGTAACCCAATTTTTTAGCTCAAGAATTCATATCTATACTCCTACACTGATAGGATAATCCAAAGATAAAGTAAGTTGAAAAGAAAGCCCATGCCAAAAACTTAGGAAGAACCATAAAAGATGGAGCCTTGAGGTGCTACGTACAGTGTCCAAAGGCAAGCAGAGCAGAGAAGCAGTAACACCAGCGGCAGCACCTGCAACAAACCTCTCAAAGTTTGTGGTTTCCTCATTCGCAGTCCATTTCAGTAGTGTCTTTCTGTACGTATCGTATGCATAAAAGTTGATAGCCTTAAAGGGAGCAGTTCGAAGAATATTGACCAAGTTGCCTTTCCAGAAACCTTTGACCCCTTGAGTTAAGAAAATTTTCCTGGTGAGTGCAACTATATTCGTCGTCTCGCCACAAAGTATGTACTCCAGCTTCATTCTCTCCAGAGGTGCTATAATGGTTCTGTTTGAAGAAAGACTACGTTGAATGCTGAGATGCTAAAAGCTACAATGTAAAATTTCTAGACAATCTACTACAATACCATGCCAGACAAGTTAAGTTGAAATTTTGTTTCCAACCCATGCAAATATTCTGTCGAATCCATCTCGAGACTAATCTACTTTTAAAACTTCTAGCAAACACTAGTACCGTACTAGCATTAGGGAGGCTGGAACCAGCTATTGAAACTTCACTCCTCATAAAACATGAATTGACAAGACTGCAACTCCATGGGTGTAGAGCTTATCTATGAGCCTAGTGACTGGTCAACTATGGGTGGGCGTTGAATGGTATAATAGCTCATTGTCTTGATTTCTCAATGCCAATTGTAAATCTAAATCATACGCAGAATCAGCAAAATGATATATCACTAACAAACATTATAAAGGAGAACTTGTAAATACAACTTCCAAAACCATTCTTGCCAGGCAAATAAGAATGAAGGCAAACCTGGAAACCATAGCTGCCACGGCGCCAGCCCAGAGATGCTTAGTGGTATTGAAAGCCGCTGATCCGGAATTCCGCACACCAACCTTCTTCTTCTTCTTCTTCTTCTCATCATCATTCCCCTTCTTCGCCTCAGCAGCGAGAAATGTGCCAAGCTTCATTTCCGCCTCCAAATTCTTGTCTTCCCCATTCTGAGCCAAGCTTCCCGGCCGTTCCGCAACAAACTCTTCGTCGCCCCGTTTCATCGACAAACTTACAGAAAGAAACGCCAGTGCATCCCTTCGCCGCCGCTGCCGGCGCCGGGGCAGGCCGCCATCGACCTCAAGCCTCAAATTCCTGGAGAGGCCCGAGCAGCGAGAGGAGTCGGGCTGATTAGGTTTCAAGGAGAAGAACGAAGGGAGAACTGTTTCGTGTTCGAGGAAGATGCCGCCGACGAGGATAGAAGAAGAGTAATCAGAGTGTTGTTGTTGGTGGTGGGGAGAGTGGAGCTTGATCAGTGCTGGCAAAATTAGATCCTGGCCGCCGTACATTGCGCCGGGAATTGGGAATCGATAGTCTGGTGGAAAAGCCAATAGGAGAGCAACACCATGAAGAAATGGGGGGATTCGTCGAATGACGGAGAAGTAGTGAAGAGGAAGACTGGAGTGGGGAGTAGGTGGGAAATGGTTAGGTCAGGGAGATGGTAATGGTGACAGGGAGGGGACTTAGAAGATGGCGCGGGAGGGAGAAAGGAGTTTCCGACGGGGGAATGGCTTCGCTGGAATCGCCCCGCGAGGATACGAACACGAGGAGAGAACACAGAATCCTGCTTCGCTTTTGGAAATTCCAAGGTCGACCAATCGTCCCCTTTCTCCTACAATTCCTATGCGTTAATCAATTCTGAGAGTTAACAGTTATGTTGGAAGATAAAATCACGGTTGACTAACGGTCAAATCAGCACATACCGATTTAAAAAATTCAAATTTTCAATTATTACAATTTATCCTTTTAATTTAAAAAAAAATAATTAAAAAAAACTGTCGGGTCTATTTCATTTATCTAAAATCGGCGAGGATAGGTTCCCTTTTCTATCCCTTATATCAGCCGACGCCATAAACCCATCGGCGAAATCCTGACTGATCGACTGCTTCTTCAGCACCATCTTCGCTTTCAACTTGTTCATCCTCACTTCCTCCTCGCAACACCGAATCCCTTTCGAATGTGGAATCCCAAGCGTCAACAGCAGTGCGGCCATGTCCCCATTCAATTCATTCGAATCATTAAATTTCAACGAGATGCTCCCCGCATATCCAGCGATTTTTGCTCAGGCACTGATTTTCCCCAACCTCTTGGCGTGTCTCCCATCGATTAAACCCGAACTGGACAACCAGACGAACTGCTCGATGAAGTATTAGATTCCTTCACCGACGTATGTGAGGATCGAGAGGATCAATTCCTGTCGGGAGTGGAAGTGGGAGGAGCCGAGGAAGTGACGTCCTGGACGAATTTCCCGAGGTGAAATGCCTTATGGTTGAGGCCTACTCTAGACCCAAAGTTCCTGAGGCGGTTGGTTAGAATTAAGGTTTCTGGGATGATCGAGGAGGAGAGAATGATCTTGGCGGAGTATCGCGAGATCTTCAGGAGCTTGTCGACGCAGTCTCGTTTGGAGAGGTAGGCTTCCATATGTTTGAGAAAATATCGGTCATTGATTTTTCAGGTTGGCTTAGGCAATTGGTTTTGGGGGGGGGGGGGGGGGTCAGAAGGGTGGTAGTTATTTTAGCTTCCGATGTCGGTGATAGAAGACCGTTTGGCGCTTCATTTTCGTCGGTCGAGTGAGGAAGGTGGTTGTCGGTTGTAGGGTTAATGAAAGGTACCCGACAATTTATTTTTAATTTTCTTTTCCTTTTTTCTTTTTTCAAAATAAATAAGATAAATGGTAATAGGTGAAAAAACGAAATACTTTAAGTTGGTATGTGCTGACATGGCAGATTCACCGTTAGTCAATGGTCTTGACCGTCCAACATAATGGCCAACTCTTGGGTTTGGCCAATTTTGTAAATTTGATTCATAGTTGAAGCCACAAAGTTATTGATCTAAAAGATTGGTCAGGATGTTGAATATGTGTAAAGTTTGGGCCAGTCAAAATTATCAACCCAATATTATATAAAGAAAACTAGCTTGTACCCTGCCCTTTGGGCAGGTGGTTTTGGTAAATTTGCCTTTTATTTTTTAATTTGATGGGATTGTTATCATTTTAATAGAAATTCTGAATCTTCTTATTTATTCAAAATAACAGTTCAACTTATCAAAATACAAAATGACGGCAAAACACTGATGATTTATACAAATAATAACATTGTCTGTTAGGTTTACTAAAAGTTAACAGAATTATACTTCATCAAATACAACTCATTTTAATTAAGAAAATCATTTTGTATCCGATAATTTAGCGAGAAAAAGAAGAAAAAAAACATTCTTTTTCTACCAACAAAAAAGGGGGGAATCTTTGTATCAAAAAAAGGGAAAAAGCTCCAATCTTTTGCGTGTCTTATTCTACCTCTTTCCCACCATCACCACCGACAACACCCCATCCGCTGCCATCTCTTCCCACTGCCATCTTCCCGTTCCTTTTATCCTTCTCCGAAATGGCTATTCCTAATCCCACCACACAAAGCATCGATAAGCCAATCCCTCTTAAATGCTCTCTATCTTACTTCTTATTGGATCGGGCCAATCTCTCGCCTCGTCTCCAAAGGTAGGGATTTGGTCGAACTTTGCGACGTTGAACTCGTCGGATCTTGAAGTTGGAGGATTCCTGCAGGGGATCTTTTGAAGATATGGCTGCCGGTTTCAAAATAGATGGTTGGGCTAGTATTAAAAATCTTCCTTGAGTATGAATCGAGTAACAAATTCGAGATCTGGTTTCTGGGGGCGCCGCCGACACCAGAAGATGGTTGGAGGAAGTTTCAAAATAGGACTTGTCATTCAATGTTAAGAAATTACGGATCAAGAGAATTTAGAGGTGAAAGGGTCGGGAATGATGAGAAGTGGGGTACATAAGGGAAATCCATGATCTTATTATCGTCGTGAGGATGACTTTTAGAGGGAGAAGAAATTGTGGATCTCGATTTTGATGGGCTATGAACGATGAAGGCGCACCCTAAGTGGTTATAACGATTGTGGATTGCCGGTTTTTGCCGTTACAGTGCAGAGCATTCAAACAGTTTTAGTATGATCCAAAAAATATAAAGGAACACGACGATTGGAATTTGGAAGGGAACGGTTTAGACTTTAGAGAAAAGAAAAACTACTAAAAAAAAGAAGTCCGAAAGTTGCGGGGAAGCCAAGGAGGCTGACGTGGATGAGGGGGTTTTGAGAAACCCTTTTATATATTTTATAGAAGATAGATAGATAGATAGATAGATATAGATATATAATGTTGTGTTGGACGGTAAATATCGTTGACTAACAGTCAACCAGCCCTGTCACTGCCAAATCAGCACATACCAACTTAAAATTCTATTTTTCCACCTATTATCATTTATCTTTTTTTAACAAAAGGAAAATTAAATTAAATTAAAAAGTAAGTGTCAGGTCTCTTTCATTTATCTAAAGTCGCCGATGATAGGTTCCCTTTTTTGTCCTTAATGTCAGCTAACGCCATAAACCCATTGGTGAAATCCTGAATGATCCACAACTTCTTCATCACCATCTTCGCTTTCAACTTGTACATCTCACTTCCTCCTCTCAGCACTGAAACCCTCTCGAGTGCGAGATCTCGATTGGTGATGACCGCGCTGCCATGTCCCCGTTCAATTCGTTTGAATCATTAAATTTCAACAATATGCTCTTGACGTATCCGGCGAATTCCGCCCAGACACTGATTTTCCCCAACCTCTTGTTGTGTCTCACATCGATTAAGCCCAAATTGGACAACCAGATGAACTGCTCGACGAAGATTCCTTCACCGTCGTAGGCGAGGATCGAGAGGATCAATTACTGTCAGGAGTGGAAGTGGGAGGAGCCGAGGAATTGACGTCCTGGACAAATTTCCCGAGGCGGAATACCTTATGGGTGAGGTCGACGCTAGACTCGAACTCCTGAGGCGGTTGTTTAGAATTATGGTTTCGGGGAGGATCGAGGAGGAGAGAATGATCTTGGCGGCATATCGTGAGATCTTCATGAGCTTTTCGATGACATCTCGTTTGGAGAGGTAGGCTTCCCGGTGGTTGAGGAAATATCGGGCATTGACTTTCAGGTTGGCTAAGGCGATTTGTTGGGGGGGGGGGGGGTTTCAGAAATCAGAAGGGTGGTCGTTATTTTAGCTTCCGTTGTCGGTGATTAGAAGACCGTCTGCCGCTTCATTTTCGTCGGTCGAGGGAGGAAGGTGGTTGTCGGATGTAGAGTTAATGAAAAGGACCTGGCAATTTATATTCAATTTTCTTTTCCTTTTGTTCAAAATAAATAAGATAAAGGTAATAGGTGGACATGCTAGCGACATGGCGGGTTAACTGTAAATTTGATGCATAGTTGAGGCCACAAAGTTATAGATCGAAAAGATTGGTCAGTATATTGAATATGTGTAAAGTTTGGGCCAGAAAAAATATTAGCCCAATATTATATAAAGAAAATATATACAGTACATTGAATCTTATGTTAAACAACAAATGTAAACCACTTTCTAAATAGAAAAGGAAGATGATGGTATCACTACTAAAACACACAAGTTTTATTAGGGATCAAGACCCACTAAATGATCACTAAATCTGATGGGAGAATCAAAATGACATAAAATATGGAAAACAATTCGGATAGAACAAGTCGAGATAGAAGTAGAGGAAGGTAAAAGGATCTAAAAATCCAGCGCAACCTCCCATTGTAGTATGCGCTCATCTAAACCAAACCTGACATTTAGTTCTCATATCCGATAACTAAGGACCACATAGAAACACCTAAGCAGCGCACAATGGTGTCAATCTCAACTTAAACGAGAAAGAAACTTCTATTGTAGCATGCACTCATCTAAACCAAATCCAACATCTAGTTCTCAAATCCAATAACTTGGCTTGTTTACGGGGAGACCATAATCAATCACAAAAAGTAGTTCTTCTTTTCTAGATACTTTGAAGGCCTGAACTAATGCACAATCGAGAAGATGAATAGACACAACTAGACCAAACGCATTGGAAATTACCTCCTAAGCCTGACCAGACTACCACGTCACCAATAGTAAAAAAACTTTCCAACCAAAAAGGTTCTTTTCGACAGATAAGAGTCCACAAACTTGCATGCACACTCAAACTCAGGTCGTGATTGAAGTATAGGGGCATATTCCAACACTCATCAACCTGTGGGTTCATGGGGAAAAGACTCAAGCAAGAGAGTGATTCAGTTAAACCGAAATAAATCACGAAACATAAAGGTCATGGTTGTAGAAAATTGGCATGCTGCTGACAACTCGGCTGATATACCGAAGGAGTACGATTGTGTTGTGTAATTCCATCCTAGAACAAACAAAGCAACCATATGAAAGGTGAGAAAGCGAGTTCCCGATGTTGCTGGGAAAAACAAATGAAGGAGATAAGAGAAGAGCAGTGTACCCATTGGAGAAGACGAAGGTCGGAGTGGAAGAAGGTTTCCCAAACTTAGTTGGGAGACTGTAATTTGATACCCTAGCAGCAACAATCACTGCCAAGGGGACGAAATCCGCCGAGAAAGAGAATTCCTTGATCTCCATTGATAGTGAATCCTAAGTAGCAGAAACCGGCGAGAAAAAAGGGCATGTAAACAATGGGGAAGCCGAAACAGCTAAAGAAAGAAAGGGGACAAATTTAAGCTTGGGTCGGGCCTTTATGTAATTTGATTGTTTTCCTTCTTCTCATGGCCTCTTGAACAGAAAAAATGGCCCAACCCGCAGCTAATTTTGGAGTTTCTCAAATTGCTTTTCTTTGACGACATACTGAATGGTATTTGCTCCATTGCAAATCTTACACTTAATATGCGGTTAAATTACACGTTTGGTCACTCAAATTGTACAAATTTTGCACGTTTGCCATTTGAATCATTTTCTTATTTCTTATTTGTCACTAACTTTACGAATTCTTTCACTATTAATCACCGGTCGTCTGTCTCCGTCAGACTCTATTAAGGGTGTAACGTGTCAAGAATGGTTGTTTATTAGGTTGACAATAACGTTGTGGGTTGTTTTTCAATAGAAAATGAATTCCATTTTTTTTTTCTTTAGTCCATTGTCGATTGGTCTCTATGGTGAACATAGGTAGATAACATGGTGGATGACCTTTATTACTAGTACACAATACTGCTTGGCCACTTGCTTCCTTTTTCTGACCTCTTTATTTGATCATCAACTCAAAAAGAAGAGTGGGAAGCATTTATTGAAGAATGAGTCTATTGTGTACTATGACCATGTTGATATTGACTAGTCTGGTTTCTATCCTAGACTTGCCACGCATCTATATTCTATAAGGAGTATGGTGGGAAGCTTACAAATCCATATTTTTATTGGAAAGCTCCTCTTCACAAATCAATGACGGAAATTACTAAAGATGAAGACTTATTGGAAATGACCACATAAGCTAATAAAGCTCCTATAATCATCAAACTTTATGCTATGGTTGAGCAAGTAGTTCTTGAATTTATGGAGAGTGATGATAAAGAAGATG